TAAACCCTAAACCCTCAACCCTTGAGAAGGCTTGATCAGCATGGGTGCTTTTCTGAAGAACTCAGAGTCGCTTTTGGTCCTATGGGACGAGACGTATGTCGCCAGGTGCGGCTTAGGGTTTGGGGCTCAGGAGTTAGGGTCTAGCTGTTTCGCTTTAGGGGTTTAGGGTTTTCCTGTAATCATTATTGTTGTTCCTTTTCTTGGGTGTAACCAAATTTGTTATATTCTAAGATCCTACCCGTAAAACTGCTTAACCAAATAAAGGAACTACAATGGAGACAAAAGGTAGTTTCGGTTTCGGCTTGCTGTCATCCTTCGCTTAGCTAGTCAGCCAGCTCGAGCTTCGTGTCACCAGGGCAGCCGATCGACCTCCCTGACACAGAATNNTAGGGTTTATGGGGTTTACAGGGTTTGCGGCTTAGTCAGGGCTTCGGGTTTAAGATCTATGGCCATTTATGGCCCTAGGGTTCAGGGTTACCGGGTTGTGCCTACGGCCCCACAGATTCATGTTGCGACATTCGTTTGAAGGCTGTGGTGCATGTTCGAAATGGCCGCTTTCTTACGCAGCAAAGGGCTGGGTGTGGGCACGGGGAAATGCCTGGTGGTTTGGCCAGTGTTCGTGGGCCCCGCGTTGCTGGTGGGCCAACTGGCTGCCAGTATCTTCATCATAGCGACGCTCAGATTCAGTCACGCGGGGCTTTACGCGCACCTGATCTTCCAAGCCACTGTAGCTTTCCCATCTTTCTTGCTTCTCGCCTATGTGGTCCTGGCACACTATCACAATGTCGAAGTGGTGCAAGAGCAAGTCGGCAGCTTCAGCATCAAGGATTCCGCGTGTTATTGCTGCTCCCACAGTCATGTCAAGGATGGTGTAGAGATGATTTGTGACCGCGTTCCTTGGGGACCAAGTGACCGTTGTAAGTAGGGGCCTTATATACCCTTATACTAGGAATCGTTGTGATTCTGCGTCTTTTGGGGTACATTTCGTCCTTAACTGGTGGCACTTTGGGAAACTTTAAAA